GGTGGAACTATGTGTAGGCGTGGGATAGTATTTCGCTTAGAAACACTGTTCATAACGGCATTCCGCATGGCTCGGTTTTAGGGCAATTGGTTTTCTCAATTTATGTCAGTGTCCTACCCCAGTTGCTTCAAATACCTTCGCTATTGTTTGTGATGCGCACAAACTCTGGAATATTGTGGATATCGCTGACGGGTCTATGGCACTTCAGAGGGCCTGTGATACGCCCTGGGATTGGTCAACCTTATGGTTATGCCTATGAAACAGGTGCAATATTCTTTCCTCCGTATTGGGGTGCAAGTCTCGCCACGCGCAATGTAGTTGGTAGAAATGTAATCCCTGTACTCACTAAGCAGTTTGATCTAGGTAGCGTCCACACCTCAGTGCTTCTCTCTGAAGCCAGTTGGACGTAGGCTGCTTGTAAAGGGTTCCGTGTGATGTGGCTTATTCGTCGCTCCTTTGATGTCCGAACTGTCGATATCTTTGTGTAACTTGTCAGTCTTTTGCGACCTACTTGAAATACTGTATCCAGACTGGTCCACCATGTCTTTTAAAACACGAAACGAAACTGGAGAGGGTTTTGCAAGTAGGTAAAAGATTAGTGTAGACATTAGAAGACAAACGTAGCTCGAAAGTTGGCTTAACCCGGGGATGTACTCAAGGCATCCCCGGAGAATTAGACCCGGCTTGAGCCTCACTTACCGTAGCCTAACGAGTAAGGTCGGTCGGGAGTTGTTCTGGCTGTATAATCCCGCCAGGCTGACTAGTCTCCGAGGTCACTCGTGGAAGCTGTACAAACTACATTTTAACAGGGCAAGGAGGGAAACTAGTGTGCCGCCTGATTATTAAACGTTGGAACTCGCTTCAGGAGCACGTCGCCAGGGAGTCTAGGGTAGAGAGTTTAGAGCGTCTGTTAGATGCTCTTGGATGACCCTAACCATTCCTTTCTCCTAACCGACTTGTAGCTTCAACTTTCCGTTCTTTTTTCTATTTCCCGTCACACCTTGGTATTATCACCGTTCGTCTACCATTCCTTTAATTTTATTAGCTTACACATCACACTTATTTATTTCGTATAAACTGGCCTGGTGAGGACTACTGGGCAGGAAAAGTTAGGCAGTAGTTGTCAGGACAGGGTGTGTTGCGGTCATTGCAGGATTTGCAGGCTCTCAAGCAGACCTATCAAGTCCCGATCCAACAATTCACAAAAGGAGGAACACTCGCAGAATAAACTTATCGTTCCGACGCCAAATAAACCTTAACGTCCCTTATAACAACTAAGTATAATATTACAATGTGCATACCTAATAATAACATACACACATAACTTAAGTGCACTGCACATTTTTATTTACGTATTGTATTTGCTTAGTGCATGCTCTGCTCTACTAAGGAACTAGGGTACTTTAAGGCCTGTTGCCGTGGCGAACAGACCACTGTGCTCTCTCGGAAGAGCTTCCTCACGCTTAAATAAATAAATAAATTCTTTATCCTAATGCAATGCCATACACACCTATGTAGGCATGATCATGTTAAAAGTGCAACTAAATAACAGGGAAGGCGTAAAAGATGGTGCGTTAGCCATGAATTTGGTTATCTGCATTCATACATGCATGTGGAATTGCAGGTGTCTATCGGTTATACGAGATTGTATATGTGCCACTGCAAGTGCGAGTGAGCACGCGGATCGTGTGAGAAAGGTTGGGTGGCGCCAATGGTGGAAGTGTGTTTGGTGTAGAAACCATAGGGCAGGGACTTTAGTAAGAGGCACGTCACCTGCGCCTTGTCGCAGTGCTGTTAAACAGACATCAGTGGCTTGTTTTAGCGAGAAGGCTTGCCAGGCGAAAACGCACCACCTCCTGGAGCACGGTCGCTAAAATGTTGGTACTCAGGCGAAGTAATATTTTCGTTGTCGATTTAGCAGTCTGAGATTACTGACAAGCCATAAGCGTGTAATCGTACTCTTGACAAGCGGGACCACAGGTAGGTACTTGTGGTTTGATTTAGGTAGGTTGTGTTAATCCATTGTTTAGAAGGCTTTTTGCATGCAGGCGATGGTTCATCCAATCCTCTGAATAAGGGCCTCCAGCTCTAGTTGGCCAGCGCATGTAGACCAGAAAGGGTGTGAGTGTGGTGAAGGCCTGATATGATCCACTTTTACATTTGTAGGATAATTGAGCCGCAGAACCACCGGCGAGGTGTGATCCTTGGTAATTTTCAGTTTATTTCTTCAGCCCTCTGGGAATATAAGAGAAAATTAAAGAAACGGAGAGCAGCAGTGATCACCAGGGAAACTTGTGACATCACGTGATGTGAAGGTAAAAGTCACATATATTACAAGATGGTAAAAATGATACATGTAAAAGGCAAAATACGTTGGTGTGCTGTCCTGCGGATGTCTACAGAACCTATGCAGGCGAAAGTTCCTTAATAACTGGAACCAGGAATGAGACGATGAGTGACGACAAAAGAAGGACGATTACGAGCGTAAGTAAAAAGGAAAACCAAAGTTACCACGTGGGAATCTGCTGTAAACCAGGCTTTTAAGCCACAATGGCCTAAGCGAGCTAAGGAAAGATCAAAGTCAGGTGAGATAATTCAAGACGAAGACATCAGGTAGACAACATGCAGGCCAGGTAGGTGAGAGTGAGATAAGTGGCTCAAACAAAAAGCGTAGCGTCGTATTAAACGGCTTTACAGGAAAAAGTGCAGAAGAACAATTATCAAAGAATAGGGAAATGCAAGCTCCGTGGAAGGGCCAAACATGAGCCAGTCGCAGCTGTCAGAAAACAGGCGAGAGAGCTCAGACGATATTGGATTAGGCAGAAAGAAGAGACTATTCGGGCCAGCAGATGTGGGAGTGACATTTGAGGACGCAGGTAGAGAGTAAGGACACAACCGCTGAGAGCATGTTTAGGAAAAGACACATACTGAGATCAGGGAGCAGAGTGGTTTGCTGAATCTCGTGCTACTGCGCTAACCTAAGGGCGGCATGCATAGAATTAAAACGTTAGTTTGAGGCGGGTGCCAGAATAGGTTAATCAAACAGGTTAGTATAGGCTCACGAGGATAGCGCTTGGAAAGGTAGCGTGAAAGAAAATTAGCCTAATTAGTGTTAAAAGGGAAAATACCACTGGTAAAGCTGCTGTAAGCCAAGCTTTTAATCCTCAGTGGTCTAAGCGAGGTAAGGCAACATCAAAGATAGGTGAGGCGATTCGAGACGAACATATCAGGCAATCATCAAGCAATGCAAGTGAGGCGCGAGTGAAATAAGTGACTTAAACGTATAAGAGTGTCATCTGGTTGTAATGGCTTCAGAGGAAAAGTGAGGAGGAGTAACAAGCAAAGCAAAGAAAGATTAATGGTCAGTAGAAGTGCGAAACATGAGTCAGTATACCTTAGTAGCTAGAAGCTGTCAGAAAACAGGCGGGGAGCTCGGCGCAGATTTGATTAGACAGAAAGAATAGACAATTCGGGCCAGCAGATATGGGGGTGACCTTTGAGGGCGCAAGCAGATATAAAGGCACATCTGAGAGAATGTTTAGGAAAAGCCACACACCAGAATCAGGGGCAAGAAAGGTGTGATGCATCAGGTGTCACTGAGCTAATCCATCGGCACGCCGGAGATTTTCAGACTTGTATTTTCCCTCATGTGCGTCCGATCCTGGAATATGGATTACTCGTAGTTCCTCCGCTTACCAACTTTGAACAAGGTTTTAATAAAATAGTTCAACGGCGCGGCTTTAAGTGCATTTGTGGTCTAGGATGCATGCCATATCACATACGTCGCCAGCACTTGCATATTTCCTCTTTGAAATATCGTCGCAGCGGAGATCAGATCTACGCCCGCGCATCCTGTGAGATGAGATGGGAATCAAGCTTACAGGTAGCTTCCAGATTAAAACCGAGTGTTCGACTCGGGCCACTGCTGCAAACTGTTTAAACCTAGGAGACTGCGACTTACGCTGATATTACCCTATCGAATCGTGTGGTAAACGACTGGAACTCCTTGCCTGATTCCGTCGTCGAAGCGCATGCTGAAGAATGTTTCAGGGGACTGTTGGATTTATACTCCTTGGAATTTGTTCGTTCCTATGCAGCTGTGACAAACTAACCAGTTGCTTGCGGTTACCCAACAACCTGTTATTATTGGGAGGTGATGGAGCTCAGGTGGTAGAGCAACGGACCGGAAATTCGTGGACCGGGGTTCGACTCCCCGTCGAGGCATATTATTGAGACTTGATTCTCACTTACCGTATCTTAACGGGTAAGATTGGTCCAAATTTATCCTGGCTATTTAGTCCCGCCAAGCTGCCTAGTCTCCGAGGTCACCCGTTGAAGCTGCACAAACAGCGTTCTGACCGGGTAAGGACGGAAACTCGCTTGTCGCGTCGAGTTATTGAACGTTGGAACTCGCTTCCAGCGCACGTGGTTAGCGAGTCTACGGTAGAGGGTTTCGAGCGTCAATTAGATGCTCTAGGGTGGCAGTACCAAACCTTCCCCTTCTCCTAACCGACTTGTATCTTCAACTTTCACTTCGTTCTTTTTTAATCTTCTTCTCACCTTGGTATTATCATTATTTAGCTGACATTCCTCCTTTTCTTTTCTTAACTTACCCTTCACTCTTTTACTTCACATAAACCGGCCCGGCAGGGACTGCTGGGCAGGAAAATGTGGGCAGTAATTGGTTGGACAGGGTGTGATGCGGTCTTTGTTTTAGACTTTTCAACATCTCAAGCAGACCTGTCAATTCCAGATCCAACGATACGCAAAAGAAGGAACATTCACGGGATTATCCTATCGTTCCGGTCCCAACTGAAGTTGAACTTGAACTTGAGCTGGCAAACTTCTGCTCTCTAGACCCCGGTGATTCCAATGATTAATCAGAGCAACATAAGTCAGTAATAAATACTTATTATGTATATAGTTAACATCCAACCTTCATATACAATTGCGATCTTTGATGCTTTGCAGCTTAATTATGGCGTTCTAAATGGTGCGTTATTCGCAGCCGCATCTAGTCCCCTTCAACAGTAACTTCGGGTCCAGTCCGCTTGTGGCGCGCCAGTGTTTCCGTAGCAAGCGAGTAAGTGGTCGTTGAACGTACTCTATATTGTGAGCGTCTTTTCCTTTTTTATTTGCTTTTCCATTTGGTCGGTGTTGTGTTAGCTAACCGTCTTACGCTTTTACGCATCCACCTAGTCGCCTTGCTAGCTGACAGTACCGTCCAGCTAGCTAGGTAACACAAGCACACCAACCATCCAGCTCCGATACTTACTAGGTGGTTTTCCAGCCGCCTACGAAGTATTATCTTTTAGCTCCACTCGGTTTACTATGACCCACGTACGCCCTGGAACCAAAAGCCCTTGGTACCCAAGACCGGACGCATATTACACCGCTCCCTACTCTCGCAGTTCGGATTTGGTGCAGCGGGTAATTAACTTTGTTGCAAGCCAACAGGTAAGACGTCGTCGAGTCTTAAAAAGGCCGTTGTTTCCTCTGCCTTCCCACTTCGGTGTCGTTAAAGAAGCTGTGTCCGGTTCGTTTCCACGCCGTGTGGTAGGAGAGTAAGATTGTATTCTGTGCCATATCCATCATAAGCAGGTCGACGGCAGTTTTGACCAGTGCGGCATGTGTATCTAACGTCACATCTATGGTTATTTAGTAACACAGACGGATATGAAGCCAGGAAAACCACTAAGTTCGGTGTCTTAATCGTTGGGGATTTCAACAAGTGTCACAGCATTCATCAGATTTCTCAGTCTAACAAATCTGGTGAACTTCGAAAGGAGGCTGAACCCAGTTAAATTTTCTCATCACAACGGAAGCTCAACTATTTTCTACACTAAAAAGAGCTCCTCCAATTCCAATTCAAGGGGGACTGGAACGATAGGACTATACCACGAGTGTTCCTACTACAGCGGGTCGTTGAACTAGGAGTTGGAAGAATTAGAGATATTGGTGGACCGCTTCACACTCTGTTCAACCAATTGCCCACGTATCCTGCCTAGCAGTCCCTGCTGGGCCGGTTACGTGAAGTAAGCAAGCAAAAAGTACTTAGAAGGCGAGAAGAACAAGTAGAAAGAGCCTAGCAAGTAAAATACCAAGATGTTTTGGTCATTAAGAGCTGAAAGGTGAAGGTGGGTCATTTAGGAAACAGAAAAGGTTTGGTGTTGCCGCCCACGAGCATCGAACTGGCGCGCAAAACCCTTAACCGTAGGTTCCGTAACCACGTGATCTGGAAGCGAATTCCAGCGATCTATAACTTGGCGCGGCAGACAAGTTTCCGTCCTAATCCTATCAGACCGTGGTTTATGCAGTTTCGGTGCGTGAACTTGGAGATTAGGTAACCTAGCGGGACTGAATAGCCCTGACAATTCCGGGCAGATCTTACCCATCAAAATACGGTAAGTGCGAATCAGGTCACCCTCTTATCCTTCGATAGTGCATGGAGTACATCCACAAGCGTTCAGAATACGTCTATCCCCGTAGCCCGTGCTCTAACCGGGTGCCCACTCGTAACCCCTTCTCCAAGTCCTTTTTGTCTCGGATAATACATGCTAGACAAGCCTGGATACAGTATTCCAGCTATGGTCGGACGAATGCCGAGAATAGCTTCACAAACAAATTGGCCGTTAGGATTCCGAAAGAGCGGCGGATAAACCACATCATACGAAACCTCCGACAAGCAGCCTTCTTCCAATTGTCGCTAGAATGAAGTGCTAACGAGTGTATGACCTGCTTAGTAACAAAAGGAAGTTCATCACCTCCGACAGCATATCGGGTAGGAGGATTAGCAGTTCCGATTCGGAGAACAGAGCACTTCGTCCTATTTATGGGCATCAACCATAAGGTAGAATATTTCCAGAGCCTATCCAAGGCACCCTGAATTGCCTCAGGACTCCCCGGCATATCCACAATATTCCAGCGCTCAAATTCGTCAGCAAACATTAGTGATGACACTCCTAGCTTCCCCGGCAAGTCATTTACATCGATCACGAACAACAAAGTCCTCAATACCGAGTCCTGCGGGACGCCACTAAGAACAGCTTGCCTGAGCGAAAGTCTACACCCCACCCGTACACACTGTTCCCTCCCCCCCTCAAGGAAAGCAGACACACATTGAAAGGCGCGACCAGACATCCCGTAAGATCTCAACTTTGGTGGGAGTCGAAGATGTGGAACAGTGTCAAATGCTTTCGAAAATTCCACGAGCAGGATGTCTACAGCGTTGCCACTATCTACTTCTTCGGCCCAGCTTTCACGAGCTACAAATAGATTAGTCTGACAAGAAAATCCCTTGCGGAATCCATTTTGCGCAACACAGAAAATTGAATCTATTCAGGTGGTTCCCCACTGAATCTTTTGTCAGCTTTTCAAACAACTTGACTACTACGCTTGTCAAACTGACAGGCCGGTAGTTCGCGAACAACTCAGATCACTGTATTCTGAAGGGATACCCAGTCACATACTGCCAGACCAACTTTGTCTCTTTGACAAAGATGCCATTCAAAACTGTCAGACGGAGAGACTGCTCGACAGAAACTGTTGCGAAACTTTAAGCGACGTTAGCTTCAACTGACTTTTACGTGTTTAAGAACGAAAATCTATCTTTAGAGTGCGACCACTTGACTGAATATATTAAATTCTGCTTTATTTTGTACTGCCCCGTTGAGATCATCTATCTACCGATGGATAGATTTTCTTCGCCGTTACTGAAGCAAATTGGGAGTAAGAAAGAACAGGACTCTAAATGCAAAGTGAGTGTGCAACTTAAAAGATTGGCAATCAACTCAGAAATAAATAGGTTGAACCACCTGTACATTGAGACAGTTCTGGACTCTCACGATTGTCGCGATCTCTGGAGACTTGAAACACCTATGTGGCCAAAGTTCGCATAAGCGCATTGATAACTTGGATGTGTATAAACTCAACACCGAAAATTTGTTTTTCTCAACAGGGTGTTTTTTTTCTCTACTTCACCAACACAGCTCAGGTAGTTACCTTTGGCAGGTTTAATGTTTATCGTGAACTTAAAAAGTGGAAGGTAATTAAGGCTACTGGCCTCGATCCATTATCACCTCATGTCCTAAAGCACTGTGCAGACTATCTTGCGGAACTATTGACTGCAATTTTCAACCGATGTCTTATGGACGCACCATCCCTAACAGTTGGAGACCTGTTAGCATAACACCTGTTCCAAAGGACTCATGATTATCATCCAATGGCGTACATCGATGGTGTTGTAGGTCCTCGAGAAACTGCTTGCTCCTCAGATTTTCACATGTACCAACATAAACGATATCTACCAGTTCGCTTATAAACATGGTTGCTCCACACTGGATGCGGTGTCATATCTTGTGCATTCTGTAGCATCTGCACTGGAAGAAAAAAGCGGGGCAGTTCGCCTCCACTTTCTCGACTATACGCATGCTTTCGGTAGCGTTGACAGATCAATCCTGCTCAAACAGTTGTCTACTTATGGGATTCCAACAATTGTTTGCGACATTGTTAAATACTACTTCACAAACCTAACTCAGTTCATCCAGATTGATGGAGCGAAGTCTTCTGCATTACTCTCTAGGCGAAGTTTTTTTTACAATGAGACATCCTATCACCTGATCTATTTTCCTTATACATTGCAAACTTCCCATACCATGTACCTTTATTGGATGTAAGTATGCTGACGAGGTAGCATTGGATTGCATAACTCAAACCGCTATGGCACCTACTTTTCAAAATGTTCTAAATCAGCTCGTGCTTTGATCCTCATCCTGATCCCTAATGTTGCATCCTTTGAACTATCTTGACTTAACATTCTCTTTTCCCCGAGCTGAGAAGTTACAAGTTGTTTTAGACACCAATTCTCAATTGGCAGTAAGTGATCAATTCACACCCAAATGGTCAAGTATTAAATTTTTTGGGGTCATTTTATCCCTAAATTTATCTTGGTCTATTCACGTTGCCGAAACCTTTTCTAAGGTTAGACGGTCATCATTTCATGCTCTTCGACTTAAACTACTTTCAGTACCCCGTGATTTGATTCTTAGATTTGTGACTGCATGTATACTACCGCATTGACTACTGTTCCCTGTAATCTTACCTAAATAATTATAACAATAATATAAATCGCCAGCTGTGCGCCGTAACGGCGCTTCGCTACCACACGACCACACCAGTCGCGCGTGGGCTGAGTATACCGCGTGGACGCCCGCCTTTACTCGGATTCGAACCGGTGACCTTATGGTTGCAAACCAGACGCGCATACCACTCGGCTACCGGCCGAGTAATCTTCCCTGGGTTACACAAAAAGATTATACCTTGATTTGCCGGTCTATCAAGCTCATTTCCAGATGCAGCGGATTGTCTAGAGAGTCCCTTGTGGATTTTATTGTCAGCAAACACCTAGACGCTTGTACCAATTTTTCCTCCAAAATTCTAAACGACCCACTTCATCCACTACATTGTGACCTATCAAAAACATTATCTATTTCCTCTACCCGCTCCAAATTTAAGATTCTGTTTTCACGTACTGCATCTTACCGCAATTCTGTGCTACCGTACCTATCCCGCTTGCTTGTTGACCAACCGAAACTACCAGTATGATGCGAAATTATTAACTCCAGTGATAACTGTAGACATTTTTACGTGTTTTATTTTTTCATCTACATAATCATCAGCAGTGATATTGTAACGTTGCAAATGCACCTACCCGAATACATAAAGCCTAGACTTGACTTAGAGCTTTTGTGCGGCCGTAACATACCTACGCGACGAGAACTCGAACATGTCATCTGCATAGGAATACAAGTCTAAAATCTTTGCCAATGCTTGTTTGAATCATTACTGAGTCTGAAAGAGCAATGTGACTAGCAGCCAGTCCCAGAAATTGATCACCACCCACTCGGTCCTCCATCGGCAGCTGTGACAACGCCATCCAGCCCGCCACGGAGTGTAGCTCAGGAGCACCCTCCATCCAGGTCAGGTCAAGTTCCAAAGATGAAATAGGCCCCCACCTAACGAGCGTTTTGTTTATTGCATCGGCAAGCAAGCCAACGCCTCCGGCACTTCCCTTTCTTCTGCAAAAGTAGGGAAGCAAGAACAACCTCTTTACTTTCTTAAATCATAGACTGCATTGTCTGATATTTGTCAATGAATTTACAATAAATTCGGGAAAAGATCCAAACAACGCTTATCTAAGCCTTATTTGAAGGCTTCTGCAGTGGTGCTCCGATTCTTACTAGGTAGTTGTGACGAAACCATCCAGCCGCCCACTAAGTATCTGTTTTGCCTTTCAGCCTCCTTGGTCTGTTACGACCCCGGTGTGCCGTGGAGACGGAAACCCTCGGAAACCTTGACCGAACGCATACTACATTCCGTTGTCATGTCATCAGCCCGTCTCTTGGATTTGTTCAAAAGGGACCTGGAAAATCTTAAGGATAATGATAAGTACAAAATCAGTGCTCTGACTGTCTTCGCAAGGGATCACAAAGATGAAGAAAATATCCCCGAGGGTATAGTTGATTTGACTACGAAACATGTCCATTCGGTAAGTCTCATACTTTTTCTGTGTCCTGCACTCTAATGGTGCAGATGCTCCAACCACCAATAAATTCTTCCAATTATCTGTTCTTTTTGCTGGTATCTGGGCGGGTTAGTGAGCGAAGTAACTGATGAATGTGATACACTGATGCTTCGCGGCATCTTCGACAGAAAGTCGTCAGGTGCGTTTAATAGGAAAGCATATTAATTTTAAGCGGTTCTTGCACTCGCTTATAAGCAGTTGGGTATTCGTTGGGATTATGTTTTCAGTGCGCATATCGCTGCAGGTTTCGAAGGCTAATCTAAGCGGCGCACCTCCGCCCTTCCCGTCGCTCCTTTTCAGATACCGGCTGGACTCAAGCTGTTGGGCCTGTACGTGATCGATTCAATAGTTAAGAACGTAGGTGTCCCGTTCAGAAAGCTTTACACCGGTACCATAGTCGACGCCTTCGTTCACTCGTTCCAGGCGGTAAGTTTTTCTATTACCCTAACCAATTACTGTTCCAGATTCGTGACGAAAAGGGACGGCTTAAGCTGTACAACCTACGAACTACCTGGAAAGATATATTCCCGAACACTCGAATGTACGAACTTGACATACGGGTTCGCGAGCACGATCCTGCGTGGCCGCTGCTAGCTACTCCACCGGAAAGCAAATCGGCATTCCGGTCGCTGCCCAGCATTCCAAAATTACAACCTAAGCCCGAGGTCAAAGACAGCGATATTGAAGGCAGTGACACGACTTCCAAAGCCATTATATCTGCTTCTCGTGACCCGCGACTGAACAGGAAACGCAAATCCCCTTCCACGGCTCAACCCTCAAGTCCTGGTGAGGAGTTTCTTATCGATCGCTCTGGGGACCAGAAAATGGAATCTGTCGCCCGAAAACAAGGAAAGCAAGAGGCTGCAGAGCAACCTAAAAAGACTTCCTTATTCGGAGGTGAAGATCTAGACATGCGTTCCCAGTTAACACCTCCCCTACCTTCCCCTGCTAGATCAGGTGTGTGGTCAAGTTATATAGACAAGCATGCAGAGGTTTGCTCCCGTCGGGAGTTAAAGGATGTCGATATGAGAGTTAGTACGACAGTCAGTAGCGACAAACCGACAGGTTCCATTGATTCTTCTGTCACATCTCCTCTAGTGAACTCTGAGCCATTACGAGTTCCTGTTCTGTCCTCTGAAATCAGGGAACCATCGAGGCAGCCCTTCGTACAACCACACCAGCCTTCCCAGAATGCGATCTTACCTACCCAACCCTTCACTGATGCAACTCACGGAATTGTTCCGACGACACGTGAGCCGAATCTCATGTTCCCTCCTCCTACGCCCCATCCGATCACTCTACATTCCGCACCACCTCCAGTTTATCACATGCATAATCCCCCTCCTTTCAGTCCTGATCTTATGAATGAGCGCCCGCCTCCGGTTCCGAAACTGTTCACCGTACCTTCACATCCACCGTTTCGGGGCCCACCAATATCTGGACCCCTGTGGAGCGTGGAAATTGATGGGTTTCCAGACATGGTCAATATTGGAGTTGATCCTCGAATGCTTTCTTTGGTACCACATCCGAAACCCCCGAGGCGCATTACCATAGATGGTCGGCGGTACAGTTTGCTCCTAGACAGAGTGCAACCACTCATCATGGTTGGAGATCAGGTTCATGCTGTCCGCTTTCGTTGCGAATTTGCTACCGTTTTGATCAACGGACGTTGCTTTACTATTCCCGGAACTGGTTTCACAAAAATTATGGTCGGATGGCGACCGTATCAGGCTTACCTTGGCGGTCCCGGCCATGAATTGATAATTGATGGTATGCCACACACTATTCCATTAGGTTCCCAGCTTACTTTTATTACGGTGGGAACCCATTCCGTCGGAGTTAAATTTGTCGGCGAACTACCCCGAAATGTCAATGTTTTACCACCTATACCTCCTCGGCTGCTTAAGTGGGCTGGTCAAGGTTTGTTTGGGTCACCAAGGAGTCTTCATCGGGTTCCCCTCAACCCATTGGCGGAGCTCTCTCGATTAGCGGAGGGTAGGTCTTTTGCTTCTCACCGATCAACAGAAGTAAAAATGCGGACAGAATTCAATCACACCCACATGCCCGACTCTTCTGTTTTCAACGAAGTTGGCACTCCACCGGTCTCAGTGCCTAACTACGCCCCCCCGACGTCTGCTCCAGTGATGGAAGCCCCGGTCACTACGTCGACCCACGCAGATCCGCCTGTCGTTACTTCGAACACTTCACCTCTTATTGATGTACATGCATTATTCCAAAAGTTGGTGAAGGCTGGTATTGTAACGGACACAACGACACAGCCACTTCCAGAGTTGGGTACCTACAGTTGGGATCGTTTCAAGGTTCCGTGTTTGACCGAAACTAATGCCATTTACAACGGTCATCAGTGTAGTCAGTGTGGTCTACGCTTTCAAAGTGATCTGTCATCTGAATTTGCTGCGCACTTGGATTATCACTACATGAAGAATTCGAGCGAGCATGACCGGCGCAGCAGAAACTTTTATCAACCTGCTCGTTACTGGCTACTCAGTGAAACAGTCAACGAAGGGACGTCTCAATTCGACCCAGGGACTCCGGTTCCCGATCTCCAGGAATCAAAATGTCCAGCTTTCGCGGATCCATCAAAAAACGTAAGCACCGTTTTATTGTTCACTTTTGCGTTGTCGTTTGATTTCAACATCCAATTCACCCTTTGATTTCGAGATTTTTTAAAATGTATTGGAGACTTACTTATCCTCTCTTTGGTTTGCATCGATATCCTAACCGCTGCGGTTCGACTACATGTTGTGCCATGACCGTGAATTAATGATTTGGTTTGATTTATTACTTTCGTTAACGGAAGCGCTGTTACGTTATTGGCTCCGGAAACAGTGGATTATCAAGGCTTTACGACAATGTGTCCTTCATCGGCAGCCGTACATCAGTACTTACTGCCTTGCATCCATAATGACAGCGAATGTGAACTAATAGGGGAAGGCGAAGAGGTACTTAATGTAAAACCTGGTTTCCCTAAGCAACTATTCGTTGTGAAGGCAGCTACACCTCTCAAACAACACGATCACAAGCAGCTGGCTGTTTTGAAAAATAAGACGTCCTTGGTGAAACAGCTTCCTTGTGCTAGTCATTGCTCCTCGTCGTAGTCATCTTTGCCCTACGGATATAACAACATCAGATGCACTTTAACCAGACAATCCGACTACAGTACGACATCAAACATGCCACTGAGGCAGGTTGCCTGCTACGACTTGTAGGGTCTCGAATCGAGCGCCTAGTGGATAGCTTAGACTACCACCTAGAAGGTAGGACAGAGCAACAGCACCCAGTTCAGCCTCATTATCCACTACGATGGCTACTTTTGTCTCCCCGGTGGCCAGGCAACACGTGTCCAAGCCAACGCAACTTATCCAGTGTTATTTGTTGTTTTTAAGAACAAATCTTAGGGTTCGTGTGCGCGCATCGTTACGGACATGTTGGGGCCACAAACATAGATGAATTTGTCGAATAGCCTGTTTCTCGTCGTTTAGGACCAACGGGGTACCAGTAGGCTAGTTATCCTGCAGCAACACTGTAATTGGAAGATAGACGCGGGCCACGGAGTTCACCTAGCATTGACCTCGCTATTACCAAATATCACGACGCTATCCTCATAAGCTGCATCGGTCATTTTCCTACCAGGCGGCATTTCTAACTCGACCTGCGCTGTAGTATAGGACATGTGAGATGTTCACATATACCCTTTGAACACTCTTCCACGCGTTTGTTGTAGATAATGGGGCTATCTTCTAAGCTACGCACACCCTGGAAGTTGCTGAATACGGCTGCTGTTCCGCCCCAGATAACAAATGACGTGCTACACCATTCCGTGTTACCGTTCTGCAATAAGTTGGTGGATGAGCGTTGTGGCTGATGCCCATGCGGTTAGCATAAACTGTAACTGCATTTTTTATACACTGCCACTATGACCGGTTCACTCCTTATTTGTTCAAACAGACGGCTCGGTGATTTGCACAGGAGTTCACCACCGTCCCCAAATAGTGAGTGCAAAGGAATCCGGACCAGTAGCACGAAAACGACCGGTGCTTGTGATGATGTTTCGGACCCTAGCATCCGATGGAACTCCTAAACTAACTGGCCGGGGCTCAGGTTGCACCACAGGATTACAAATGCAACTGAATTTCTGCCGAACGTACTCCGTCCAATGAGCTAGATGGCGTTCTTTATTTTGAGCTAGTGAACCTTGGCTGTCCTTGATAGCTTACACTTAATTTACTTGACCGGCAGTGTGGATCGGCTATAAGAAAGGTTATTGACCGCCATTCCTGTCTGTCCTAACAGGTTTTTGGTCCATCTGGCTTTTTGTCAGCATGCAAACTCCTTTTTGACTTATGCTTAGGGACCTATCTTATCAAATTGCTTTCAATGCCGATTGATTTTCCCTCCACATCCTCACAGCTTTATAGAGCACTTGGAGATCCAGTAGCTTGCGAGGACGACTAATAGTACTGCAGGCAGTGACTCCTACATCGCATATGACGTCCGAAATACTATTCCACTAGTTGTGCTCAATCCTAAAAGGTCAGCGGATAGTTTGGTATGCAGAGCTCGATTGTTATACTTGAGCAGTAGCTAAATTCTCACTTTCCAGCTGTGGGGAACCTTTGAGATCTTACTGGGCTAAGTTCACGGGAATCGGTGTGAACTGTGGCATGATCGGCGTCGACACGCTTACTCCAGAATGGACTGAAAGATGGAGGTGACTCTTTGCTACCGATTTGGGACGCTAGAGATTTGCCTTCAGGTTTGTGACTCTCAACTGTCATGCCCGTCTTCAAAAAGGCTCCTCGTATTTTGTACGAAAATCGCCGAGGCATTAGACTTATTTCTTCTATCTCTAAACTCACGGATACCGTACTTCGATGGTTTATCGATCTACTTGAGAGTCAAATCCTTGAAAGCCAGGCTGGATTCCACCCTAGTCGTATTTACATTGATTGCATATTTACTCTTCGTCAAGTGTTAGGGTAGAGACGCACTTACAGACGACCTACTAGTGGTTTTCTTTGACGTGGTAGCGGCCTCCGATTCTGTTGATTGAGCCAGTTTGCGATACTGCATTTCCATGAAAGTGGGCTAGGGCAATTCCTTTACATTCTTATATATCTACATTGGCTTCCGAATCCGGTCTACGGGAAGTTGTCTCCTGCGTTCACCTCATGTCAATTAGGGTTCGCAAAAGTTATCCCATATCTCCTTTCCACTTTGTGATCAATATGCTCATAGATGACCGTTTCTTTAAGCCTTTCCGGAGCGGAAGTTCCGCCTGGCGACCAACTGACAAACCTTGAGTACGTGGATGACGTAGCTCTCATTCGATCTGATGCGGTGGCTATGCAGCCGCCACTGACGTGCGTAGCGCTGCACACTGCGGCATGTGCTTTACACCTTCAAACTAGACCGATGCGCCGCCGGTTTTAGTTATCAGCATACAGCCACTGAAAGTGATATTTCGGTTCACTTACCTTGGTATCTTTGCCGCCTCTGGTGGTCATATCACTGATAAAATTCCTTCGCATACTAACAAGATTTGTGTGGGTTTTCAGTAGCTTACCGTCTATGAAAACGGCGGATGTCAGCCTCTCAATGACAGGTAGGGTGTATAACACTGCGATAAAACCGGTGTTACTTTATAGATCACAGACCTGGTCGGTTCGCAGCGAGGACATTAAATGATTGGCCGTGTTTGATCACCGGGGATTTCTGAGTTTCGCTCACATCTGGTGGGAATACCGGGTGAGCAATGCCGAGGTACACCAGTTGGTTTTTGACTAGATGCCATCCGGTCCCTTCATCGAGTGTTTTGCTTAAGATCTATCTTTTGCGCTGGCTTGCTCATGTCCTCTGTGTGCCCATTGACTGGTTTCCTCGGCATGCATTATACACTTTGGCTGCACCAAGTTGCATGCGACCGTGAGGTGGCCAGTCGATGACCTGGCGTAGGGTCACTACTACTACACGCCGTCTTCGTGTATAGGGCCCTTGGGATGGTCTACACCAGTGGTTGGAGATTCTCTCTGGCATGGGGCAGTCGCGCAGTCAGTGGACTTCCTGCATCTAGCTGTTAATTTTCATTCCATCCCGATTACTTTAGCTCACATTTTTCTTGCTTTCATTTTCTTTGTTTTTCTTTTGCCTTCAATCTCATTTTCTGACCGTCGTTTATTTTAGTCTAGCGACTGGGATCGTACCATCTGGCTCCACCGCACTTCGGCATCTGTAGAGCACCGTCAAATCTCAGTTGTTGTGGAGTTCTCCGAGCTGGGTAACTTGGTTGCAGACGTTTCGCCACCATTCGAGGTGGCATCTTCAGTGCGGGATTGATAGCAGGTAAGTAGCAGTAGCTGGTAGAAAGCAAACCCAATAATGGATACTGTCAGCAACCACTCCGTTCTTTATATAGGCATACGGTTGTGCTCGAGCACAACCGCTGAACACAAGGATTCACCATTGAGAACGAGGCTAAATTAATGGCCTCGTATGCCTATATAAAGAACGGAGTGGTTGCTGCCAGTATCCATTATTGGGTTTGCTTTCTACCAGCTACTGCTACTTACCTGCTATCAATCCCGCACTGAAGATGCCACCTCGAATGGTGGCGAAACGTCTGCAACCAAGTTGCCCAGCTCGGAGAACTCCACAACAACTGAGCAAGCCTCCCGAGCTACCAATATTCCAAATCATTTCGAACCGTCAAATCTGAATATCAAATCAATCAACGAATCGATTCATCTCCCATTAACATAACCTCTGCTTCGATTTGGCGTCCGGCGATAGCACCGCACAAAGTATGCCTTAATGAAACATACACATTTCCGTCAACAGATCAGGCACGCAGCCGAGCGCACAATTCACAACGACATTGGTACCAAGCATAGTAGAACCACGGGAAGAGGAGCTTAAATAAGTTACATCTCTCAGCAGTTAATTGAAACATGGTTTGCAGCGAAACATGCAAGCGTAGACACAAAGATTAACAACTTATTTACAATCGCCACGGACTCCCATTCCCTAGAGCATGCACTGATAAAAAACTCTCGACACATTAACTACGAAATGTATTGAGCAGACTTGGACGTGAGACAAACAGCACGACCGAAGCGTGTATATGTAGTACTGCTTCGGCGTGCCGGCGTCCGTAAGTTGTTTGGAACGGGAGTACTCCGGCTGATAAAACAGGATCGGTGCTTTTAACTGCTGAACCTACGTAAACAGATTTAATGCGATCAATGCTTTTAATCCACACTTTTTCAGAACGTAATACTTTGGTTTCTGCGATAAAACTTGGAATGGGCCTTCATAAGGTGGAGTCAAAGATCTTCGGACGGCGTCGATGTGTATAAAGATAAATAGACAGTTATGTAAATCGGAGGGATTTTGCCGCTTATATACGTTCGATCGCGTAGAAGTTGGTCGAATGGATCGAAAATGCCGTTTGAGGCATTCAACATACGACATGCGGTCTAATTCTCCGGTGGCGCGGGGGTCGAGTACCGTTTCACCAGGTAGTCTGTCATTTTCAACACTGGATTTGCGGGGTAACACCCAAAGTCCTCTTTGATAGCATTGCGAATGC